TCAGAGAGGTAGCTGAGCATTCATTGTGCATCGTTTAACCATAAGGGCGAAGGAATGAATGCTGCAGTAACAAATAGCAATGTCACGCGAAGAATGGCAAGTAGCTAGAAACTTGCAGCGCAAACCTCGAGCAGAAAGCACCCACAGGAATAGCACGGACAAACAACTGTGGCAGCTAGACACTTGAAGCACTCCGATCAAACAAAAAGATGCATGAAATGAACGCACACATACATGCAGGACGAGCGTGAACCGTCACAATCCTTACTTCATGTGTGAGCAGCACGCTCCTTTTGTAAACCCAGCTGCGGCAGCGAGCGAAGTGACCTTCATGCTTCCTTTAACCACTGTAACCTCAAAGCAAACTTGTGGTGGAAGCACAAGAGGTACAAAGCACCTGAATTCTGATATAAGCACGTGCGCGAGTGAGCCACCACGTCATGTGAAGGCGTGCGTCGTGCCATCTTGCTACTGATAATGAAAACACACTGAAGTTGCCGAGCTCTGAGGATCGCCAGCGGTACATGGTGTACATAAATGGCTCGCCATTACCATGTTGGAGGAGGGTCGCTCTCTGGCTTAGTGGTTAGCGACGCGCGCTGAGGAGCACGAGGTCGCTGATTCGACCCCTCGCTGCGCAACTTTTTCTTCTTGTTTTTTTCTTCTTTGCAATCTGTTAGTAAATATTTTACAACCCCGTATTTGTGATGGAAGTACACTACAGAGCTGTGGTGGACCCCGGCATGAAACACTTTTGTGTCAAAATCTGTTTTTCTGTAGCTGCCTCCACTAAACCACTTTGGCATGCATGAGTGGGTTGTGCAGAAGGGTTATTTCCTGGCATGCAGTTGTGGTGCTTGAGTATGACACGAAACTGCTTTAAGACTGGTTCAGAACTCTCCTTCTCATGGTCGCATTGCTGTGGAGCTCGATTAAAGGGACACTAAAGGCAACTATTAAGTCAATGTTGATTTTTAAAATGGCGGTCCAGAAACCTCGTAGTGTTACTTTTGTGCCAAGGAAGGGCCTATTTTGAAATAAAGTCACATTTTAGAGGTCCCCATCGGGTTAGCCCACTTCAAATTACCCGTCCCTAGAAGCGGACCGACCAGACCAGCACACATCACTGTTGCCATGCACAGCATTGCCTGGCTTTACTGCACTAGTAGCAGCAGACCGAAAGCAGCGGAAGCCACAGCAGCAACAACGGCCATTGATCAATTTCCCGCCATTGGCTTCGAGATTGCAGACATTTTTGTTTCAACTGCGCCCCACTAGATAGCACCACTTGCCCCATGTAACCACGCGAAAATTGAATTTTTGAACCACTATCACCATTCCCCATAATAACGTCCCGGCGGTTCTTTTTTCTATGAATCAAACAGAAATGAACAAGTAGCATTTTATTGCGTCTCTCGATACATGGAAGGTTCTTCATTTAGTGTAGTTGGATCGATTAGTAGTGATTAATTGTAGGTGGTCTGTCTGATGTCATTGGGATCATTTTGAAAATGTCCAAAGTGGCTTGTCTTCTTGTGCATTTACCTTAATTTCTCGGTAAGTAGGGCACTGTTGTTGATAATATTGTCGGTTTAGATGTCATACATTGAGCTTTCACTCTGGCATAAATTGTTATTTGACTTGTCCCTTTAGAGTGTACTTGAGCTAAGGCACGGGCCCTCTAGTTCTTAGAAACAGGATTATGTTCTAATGTACCCACTGTCGTGGTTGTTTCGGCAAGGGTAGTGATCTTTAGAATGAAGATAGCCATTCACAAAATCCTACCAATAGTGTAGTTACAAAATGCCTCCTAAAAAAGCCTATAGAAAACCTTCATATGGGAGTAAGTGCTCATCTTTGTCAATTCTGTGACCCTTGTCCTGCTACAAGCTACACCACCTCAACAATAGCAATAACGACAACAGCAACAAAAAAAATTGGCCCAAATCTACATATTACACTGTAGATGTTGTCGAAAGATGATAGTCTTACGTCTGGAGAGAGTGAACAAAACGTTTATTTGATGTTCTGTGCAAAAAATTTAGAGTGCCTCGAGTGTGTGGCGGAGGTGAACGAGCGCATCTAGGCACGTTAGATTCAAATGCCATCTGGCAATTATCTTCGAAAACGAAGGCGTGCAGCTCGCGGAGAAAGATGTGCGCCTGTCTCGAAGGTGATAAGGTATAGAACGCAAAGCGACGGGCAGGTGCCACCACCGTGACGCTGTAGCAAAGCGTTGGAAACACGTTTTTGAGCATCGCATTGTACTGTCAGCACAGCGCAATTAAACGCTACATTCCTTAGAGTTACTTGTGTGTGCCTCTTCTAGTATAAAGGCAGACATAGAAAACATCGACGCGTTGTTGTGGCGCCTCAGATATGCGCAATAATTGCTTTTTTAATTGACAATCGCACAACTATAACGCTAAACCTTGAGCAATATTGGTGGGCGCTGCGGATGGGGTTGGCCGTTTGAGATATCGTTAGGGCGGACAAACAAACAAATGTACAGACAGACCAAAATTTTTCCGCCGAAGGTCCCCAAGAAAGACTATCATCTTTAAAAAACCGCACAAGTCTATGATTATCGTGATACGTTCTTTTCAGGCGTCGGTGAGAGTGGCAATAGCTATGGCTGCTTCTTTAGCACCTGTTGTGTACATGAAGCAGCAACATTATTGTTACAGTGAAACCCCGTTAATACGTACCTGCCGGGGATGGCAGCATAACTACGCACTAAACGTACTACGCATTAACCACTAGATACAGATTTTCATCCCTCGCCAACAAAAAATAGAACCGCAGTGCCGCGAGAAATATTGCCCAAAGTGCCCACCGCAAAGCCATTTCTTTCTTTTTGCCAAGGTACAGAAAAAGCTTCTGACTCTTGAAGAACCACCCGATAGCCCGCGATCGAGACGCCGATGAGCATTTCGAAACCACAGTGGGATCCAGAATATGCAGCGTGGTACCGCGACAGAACCATGGAGGAAGGAAACAACTTTATTCATTCTTGCGTGGACAAAACACACAATCGGCTGTCCGTGATACAGTTGTTCCGCGGTCTGCTTCTTAGCAAAAACTGACGCAGCTTTCTTTTTAAAACGCTGTACAGTCGCAGCGAGCCGGCTGCGGCGGCTCCATTTCCGATGTAGGCGGTAATGTTGTAGGCCTGTGTGCTCAAATTTGGGTGCACGTTAAAGAACCCCAGGTGGTCGAAAGTTCCGGAACCCTCCACTACCGCGTCTATCATAATCATATGGTGGTTTTGGGACGATAAACCCCACGAATCAATCAAATCATCATAAATCAGTAGCAGAGAGCCAGGTCGTTTACTGCATGACTAGTTGCGTGCAGCGCTTCGCTCATTCTGCGCACACCGTGACTGCCGATCGGCTTGCTGTACAGATTTGGCGAGTATCCTGCTGAGTTAACGCGGCGCCGAAGAGCTTTCCACAAGCAATGTGTTCTCCGTGATGCTCTAGCAATCTTGGCAGCGGACGAAGGCGCATTTCGGCTGTCACTAAATAGAAGTGTGCAGCATAGTAACAGCGCTACGCCCGCTGTACGGTGCACGTGTTGGCATAATACAGCAAGGTTTCTCGGTGCCCGCGATCCACAACGCTAAACTCCGCGACAGCGAGCTGCTTGCAGTTCTGTAAAGCGGTGCACGCTTGAACACGGTCTCGCAAAACGAAGCGGTAGCGATCGACGGCCCAGCGCGTTCAGGTAGCCGCCCCCTAAAAGCGTGCAGTAGGCCTAAAGTGACGCTACGCCACACGCGTGCCTCAGGCATGGCCTGAGGATGCTTACTGTGATAAGGATTTTCACCGGCGATAAGTCATACCGGCGCGTTTGTCGGCGGTCGCCACATCGCCTTCGCTTCTTTCCCCGATGGTTACTCGCAGCGTTATCGCCGCAATTGCGCGGAACTCGTAATAACTTATTGGCTGACCTCCGCACTCATCAACATGACGTAAAACCGTTCACGGCACAATGTGGCGTCTGCAAGTTCAGAGGAGCAGTAAAATTTTATCGCGCAAAATGTTATCGCGGTACGCAGTTATTACGCACTAACCGGAAGGCATAGGCCAAACACTACGGCTTAAGCGGTCCGCGAATGCATTAGTCTCTATGAGACTCGGTCGGGCATTCGTCGCAACTACGTTTTAATCGTTACTATGCTTAAAGCGGGTACACACTAACGAGGTTTGACTGTATTCAACTCTACTGAGCTAACAAGCTAAGATACAGAACAGGTGCTTCTCGAGGATGCATGAACTAATAGTATTTCACATAATAGTATTCCTAATCATACCTGTTTAATAACTTTTCTTCATTAACCATACTTTTGATGAAGATGAGGGTAAGAGGGTAAGGATTTAAGAACTAACAGTGTATTCGCTTAGCAGATAACCTGCACAACTATGAAAGGTCAGCTTTCTCTAGTGTAGTTTTCATGATTTTCATGAACTGTTAATTGATAGTGAGTTGGATCGAAATCTGGGCAAGTTGATACTGGTTCATTTTTGTATACCACCAGCACATTAAAAATGAATACAAATGAAGCCATGAACACAGCCCAATGCTTGTGTAGCATCTATACCTCTTTCATCTTCATTTTTCTTAAATGCTCTAATTAAAAGTGATACTGAATGCCCCCAAGCTACACAATAGCTTAAGGGTGATGTAGTGATACCTTAATTATCTTGGGCTTCTTACTATGCACCGAGATCTCAAGTGCATAAATGATAGCCTGTGTTAAGCAAAAGGTAAAGTCTGCACAGGAATCACTTTCAACAGCATAAAAATACATATGTTAGCCGAACTACACGTAGACTATTTTTGTCTCTGTCCCTTTGCCACACTCGCCACACGAAAGTTTGTCGACATTCTTCTACCATTAACACAATTAACACTAACTAAGACCTACTACACGATAAGAAGACACTGAAAAGAGCAGGCAGCAAGCTAACAGAGCAGTGTCAGGCATCACGTACCTTTCTGCATGTTAAAAGCAGAAGAAGCGATCCAGGAAGAAGCATGCACGTGACTCGCATGATGGAATCAAGCCCCAGCCCTGAAATAGCATGGCAAGTCATTGCCTACAAGGGTGCAGCTAAGCCAAGTGAGAGAGTACATGCAGTGTTATTTCCCTGGAAGCACAACAAGCAACTTAAGAAGCATACAACTGCACAGATTGCAGCTCTCATTAGGCCAGAAAAGGAAATGACATCTTATGACAGTTATGCCAATTGAGTTTGCATGTCCTTATGGTTTCCTTGCAGCAAAAGAGGCACAGTAACTAATGTTATGATGACACACAAACATACAAAAAAAAGAGAGAAGACAAGGCAGCATGCTCCTGCCAATGTGCACTTTATCTATGTCCCTGCACGTGAACAAATGCGACTACACGGCACAGCACGAAAAATAGCATCACCAGCAAATTTCGTATATAGAGCTGTTTGGAGTGGAGGGTGTGTTTGCTGCATCACTTCTTTAGTCTTGGTGCACAGAAAGAGTCATGTGTAGTTAAGAGAGTAAATTAATGAAGAGCAACCTAAGCGATATGCAAGGCCACATAACACACAAACAGCATACACATTTGAAAGACTGAGGAAAAGTGCAACAGCAGGTATAACAGTTGCCCAAACAGGCCTCAATAAGCCAGCCACGAAGAGAACAAACAAAAAAATATGTTGAAGTCTTACCATTAGTGTTGAGTGACTTAACAACAATGTGTAGTGCAATGCCCAAAAGGCAGATGATTAAGCCCAGCAAGTTCATCGAGCTCATTTCATCTCCACTGTATTTGACAGCCAGGTACAGCGTGCAAACTTCCTGCAAAAGAGTACTCCGCATAAGGCTACTAGAAACATGATATTCTGGTAACACTAAAAAGTATGTGTCCAAGCTAGAAGCCCCTAATCTTTTCACTGGCACCATAATCAGATAACACATTCTGGATTATATTCTGGATGGTTGATGATGATGTGTGGCACTTTATGGCGCAAGGGCCAATTGATGGCCAAAGAGCGCCATTTCAATGACTAGAGATGTGGACAATCATATGTTGCGTGGCTATATAGGGGCCTTAAAATTCCTCGTGATAACACGGGTAAAAACATACGTATCAAAATCATGACAGCGGCGCGATATGTAAAGTAAAAATGGGCCAAAACAAAAAAGTTTTCATAATAAAAAACATGTGTAAAAATATTTGGCACTAGCACAAGTGCCTTATCAGCACCCTTGTGTCCAAGGGCTGTGAGGCAAGCTCTTTTCAATGTAGCCACTGCAGCAGCAACTTCTCTTGAGAGGTGGCACTACGCTATGCCTGGGTATATGACATGGTAGAAACGTACATCTCTTAAGAGGGGACATGGGTCTTAGAAGGCCAAAAATCACAAAAAAATCTACTTTTTGAAGCTGACATTTTCGGAATCTGTACCTATTTTTTCACCTATCTGAGAAGTTTCTAGCTTCTCACGTCATTATTTCTGGCGCAAAATCAATTTATAACATCCCTGTGAGATGAATGTGAGCGCAAATTGACGCTAAAATCGCGCTTTTTCCGCGCCAAACTGTTGCCGTTACACACAAGCTATCGTGTTCATCTTGGTCTCGTTTGGAAGGGTCGTTCTTCATCTTCAATTTTCCGCCACCGCTGGCTCGCCTTGCTCATTGGTTTTTTAGCAAAAACGCGTCATCGAGAAGCACTAGCACGCGATTCAATTGGCTGCTTGAGGCACGTGACAAAACCTAGGCATCTGATTGGCCAAGGGGTGCTTCCGGCGTCTGCTTCACCATCGTGACGTGCACGGACATGCGCCATTTTGTCATGGTGCTAATGACTGCCTGCGGCAGTAAAGAAGTTCCATGCTACAGTAATTTGTGAAGTGGGTGTGGTGGTCGTTCATTCGCTGTGAACTCCAGAAAGAGCCCCGTTATGGCTCAGGACAACGAGGATGACGAACTCGACGCGGTCAACGGCGGTCGCTGAGTCACCAGTGTAGGCCTAACTCACGTACGAGCCCGTTGGTTGCCAACAACGTTACTGAGAACGGCTGTGTTTTGCAGCATCAGTTAGAGGACGGCAAGTAAAAAGCAGAAGTGAAGCTACAAGAGATACCAATCTTTGTAGTGACAGAACGGAAGCGCAGTCTTATCGCTAAACGCGCCTATGCCGCGGTTCCCCCCCCGCCTGACGAAAGGACCTTAAACTGCGCGACGGGTTGTCAGAGTGGAGTATGCCGCACGTCGCCGAACAACAGAAAGTCAATCCGTTGACAGTGAACATGCTCGCCGCCCCCGCGATGGAGGCTACTGGCAACAGGTAGATTGCTTGAAATTGATGAGCGAGGGAGCTACTTTGGTTTGCGACAATTACAAGTAACTCATTCTGGACAAGCTGGAAAACATCGTCGTGTTATTCGACGGATCGCGGAAGACGCACACACATTTGTCGCACATTGCCGTCAGTACAGTCACCGAACTGATAAGCAGCCTCGTGGCAGACAAGCACACGGCAACTTGCTACAGGACTAGAAGAAACGACACGCTCCTGCAAACAATCAGTCCTATTACATTCCCAGTGCATATTAACAGACTAAAAGCATGTGTGCCATGATATTTTTCTCTCGGAACGGCGAAATAAAATTTTAACAGCATTATTCTCGAAGCACAGATTTTGACCAGTTTCTTTTGCTTGTTCAATAAAAGTGGACCTAGGACAGCTAGAGCTATAATTGTTTTTGCACAATGTAGTTAAATGTGCACAAAAAACAATGCTGGGAACCTATTTTTAATGGGCAGCTTCAGTTTTTTATTTTAATATAATAGTTTCTGTATTTGGTTACATGCAATGAACTTTACTGTGCTGTAATTCGAAAAGTACTCGTTCAATTTTTGATCAGCTTGCAGGGTTGCACTCCTTAGGCTTTCTAGCATTCATATATATAACAATGGCTATGTAATTCTAAGTACATACATTTTTACAGTTAAAAATGTTAGACTTTGTTTTCTTGATTTTCTCAAAATGGCAATTTTGTACACCCTGCATGAAAATTACTGCAATATATCGGAAACTATTACAAATAGCAGTATATTTTTTGCAGCCTGAAGCTATATGTTTGGAGTACACAACATAGGGAACAGATTTCGATTTCTCTTGATGCAAGTTTTTTAAAATTAGTCTTTTTGTGTGACCACACAATGGCCACATTCAGAGCTATGAAGTTTAGTGTACTGTAAAGTAAGAAATAATGACCCAATCAAAAAAGTGCTTCCTATGTTGTATGTCTTTTGCTTTCTACTGTCAATCCCTATGTCATTTATAAATTTTTTGACAGGTAGTTATTTTTTCTATTGTGGTAAGAACAATAGAAATTGTTATCTTGATTATTCAATTAACTAATGAAGCTACAGAAAAATAACTACATTTTTAAAATCAGGAGAACAAACTAGGTAAGCATGCCTACGCTTGCCACATTTGGTTCAAACATAAATGAGAGAGCCCTAAGACCCATGTCCCCCCTTAAGATCAAGAGCCGGGATTGATATGGGTGTAGTGGCAGTGCTTTCGTGGACGGATGCAGCAAGCTGATCCACCATCACGTTGCCTTGGATCTCACGGTGCCCTGGCACCCAGCACACTACAACATGTTGTTTGAGTGTGTAGAGTGAGCATAAAATGGAGTAAAGTGAGATGAGGACAGGGTTTTGTTGTTTTTTAAGAGTGTGCAGAGCCGTTACCACACTGAGGGAGTCCGCATAAATTACAGCTTTGTGTAGTTGTAGTTTTTTGATGTGTTTAGCGGCCACAAGTATCGCGTAAGCTTTCACCCTGAAGATACTTGTCTCTGGATTTAGAGGGCCAGCATCCGAAAAGGATGGGCCGATAGCAGAATAGGACACAAGAGGAATTGGACTTAGAGGCATCTGTAAAGAACACAGGACGTGTGTATTCGTGAAGTTCCAGGAAGTATGTTCGGATATGGGCAATGGGCACGTGTTTTTTAATTTCTAGGGAAGACACATCACATTCTATAGTCTGCCACTGCCACGGTGCCGGGTATGCTACAGGAGCCAATAAACTGTGTTCAAATGACACACCAGTTTCCTCAGCAAGACCCTTCAGGTGAACTGAGTAGGGCTGTTTCATCGAAGGCCCGTTTTGAAACAGAATGGAGCTCGACAAATCATTAATAGTGGAGTATGAGGGGTGCTTTTTGTCTGCTTTCACCTAAAGGAAATATACAAAGGATATGTAAGTTCTCTGCAGACCACTCATTTGACTCAACGTAAAGGCTTTCTAACGGGGCTAGTGCAGAAAGCACACGTAGAGAGGCGAATTCCCAAACGGTGCACGGGGTCCAGCATCTTCAAAGCACTTTGAGTCGCAGACTGATACTAAACAACGGCCCCATAATCTAAGTGGGTGCGAATGAGGCTTCTATACAAATTCATGAGACATTGCCTGTCACTACCCCACATAGAACGTGACAACACTTTTAGAACATTCATGGCTTTTACACATTTTGTTTTTAAATACTTGATGTGCGGTACGAAGGTCAACTTGTTGTCCAAGATTAAGCCTAAAAATTTATGCTCCGCCTTAACAGACAGACGTTGGCAGTTCAGTCAAATGTCAGGTTCTGAGTGCATGCCTCTCTTTCTGGAGAACAAGACACATGCTTTTTTGTGGGTTCAGTCGGAATCCGTTTTCCTCTGCCCATTTCGAGACCTTGTTTAAACCTAACTGAGCCTGCCGCTCACACATTGCCAGGTTGCATGACTTAAAGGCAACCTGGACGTCATTGACATATGTACAATAGAACATAATGCGAGGGATGGACAGGTGCAAAGAATTCATTTTGATAATAAAAAGTGTACAACTAAGTACACCACCTTGCGGTACTCTCGTTTCTTGGACAAATGTTTGGGAGAGCACTGCCCACACGGACACGGAATGTCCGATTGGACAAGTAACTCTCGATTATGGAAAGAATTCTACCGCGCGCACCCAGGTGAGACAAGTCTCTTAATATGCCAAAACGCCATGTTGTGTCGTATGCCTTCTCGATATCGAGAAACACTGAGAGGAAGTATTGTTTGTGGACGAAAGCGTTTTGGATCTTTCCCTCAATGCGCACCAGATAGTCGGTAGTGGATCTACCGTCTCTAAACCCACACTGGAATCGGTCGAGCAGATTGTGTGTTTCAAGGAAATGTAAAAGTCGGCGGTTTATCATCTTTTCAAAAAGTTTACAAAGGCAGCTTGTAAGTGCAATGGGCTTACAACTCGAAACTGCGGAAGGGTCCTTGCCGTTTCAAAATAGGGATAACAATAACCTCTTTCCAGGAAGTATGGATGATACCAGAAAGCCAGATAGCATTGTATAGAGAGAGTAAAGTTTTTCGCGTTTTGAGCAGCAGGTTTTTCAACATTTCATACGTGATACGGTTATAGCCTGGGGCAGAACTACTGCAGGAGTTTAGTGATGTTTGTAGCTCAGCTAAGTTGAAAGGTTCATTGTACGCCTCATATTTTGTGCACTTGTATTCTAGTTTCTGCTTTTCTATCCTTGCTTTGTATCCTTGGAAAGCTTCAGTATAGTGTGACGAGCTAGACACCTGCTCGTAGTGTGTACCGAGGAAGTTCGCCTGATCTACCAGGCTGTCACCATGTGTGTTTACGAGTGAGAGTGAGTGTACTTGTCTTCCTGCTACCCTGCCAACCATGTTTCAGACTTTAGCCTTTTGTGTATATGAATTTATCCCTGATAAAAACTTGTGCCAGCTTTCTCTTCTGGCCTGCCGACGCATTCTCCTGCCTTGAGACTTTATTTTCTTAAAGCTGTCAAGATTTTCGGCAGTCGGTGAATTCCGAAGCAACCTCCATGCCTTGTTCTGCTCCTTTCGCGCATTCTGACACTCAGTGTTCCACCATGGGACGCGTCGCTTGCCAGGCCTACCAGATGTTTGCAGTATGCACTTGGCTGCTGCGTCAGTCAGAAAAGGTGTGAAGTACTGCACAGCTTCATCTATGTTTAACCTACATATGTCAATCCAACTTAAACTAGTAGTGTTGTGAAACTGTTCCCAGTCCGCTTTGTCTGTCTGCCATCTGGGAACATGTGGAGGGCCTTTTTCTAGTGGTGTACTAAGAAGGATCGGAAAGTGGTCACTTCTGAAAGAATTGTTGATCACTTTCCATTGAAGCAGGAGTACAAGCGATGGGGACACAATGCCGAGATCTATGCATGAGTAGGTTTTGTTGGCGAGGCTAAAGTATGTTGGCTCTTTTCTATTCAACAGACACGCACCCGAAGATAAAAGAAACTGTTCGATTAGGCGACCTCGTGCATGACAGCGAGAGTCGCTCCATAGACCATTATGTGCATTCAAGCCCCCAAGGACCACATAAGGTTCCAGTAGTTCATGTATCAGTGACTGGAATTCGTGTTTTTCGAGACGGTACTGTGGAGGTATGTAAAGAGAGCAAATAGTGACAAGTTTGTTCAAAAGAACTGCTCAAACAGCCACTGCCTCAAGGGATGTTTGTAGTGATAGATGTGTACAGGCTACGCCCTGATCAACTATAATGGCCACAGCACCAGATGACGCTACAGCGTCATTGCGGTCCTTTCTGAATATTACATACCGACGTAGAAAATTTGTGTTTCTGGAATTTGTGTCTCTTGTACACACAGCACTTTTGGGGAATGTTTGTGTAAGAGTTCCTGGATATTGTGGAGGTTTCTAAGCAGTCCTCTGATGTTCCATTGTATTATTTGTGTATCCATTATGAGTTTAAATGAGTGCTGTGTTTACTAAAGAAGTATTGCGTTGAGTCAGGAGCCCTTGTCAGGCCCCGTAATGATGGTTTTTAACTTTCTGGCGCGCTCCAAAGAGCCGCACCTGTCCTTCGGCGCCGAAGACACCGTTGGACTTGCTGTTGTGTCCATTACCTTGGACGAGGTGCTGGATGCCCGCTCGCAGTTCACGCATGCAGGCACGGAGGTCTTGGGGCAATCTGTGGAGACAGAAGGCCCTAGGGCTTCAGGTCCGGAGGCCTGCAAGCCTTTTGGTGGAGGAAGAGCCTGTGCTACTTCCGGAGAGGGGGTGAATGGCGCTGCCGCTCGTCCACTTTGTGTGGTACATGCGGGCGCGGCGGATTTTGGTGGCACTGCCCTCTTTCGTGCCACCTCCGCAACGATGAACCCTGCATTAGTAGATGCTTGCGCGCCTCCCTAAACAAGATGTTTTCATTTACTTTCAGTGTTAGTACTTCTTTTTCATGTTTCCATGTAGGGCATGTGCGAGAGTAAGCGGGGTGTCCACCATCGCAGTTCGCGCAGTGGGTAGTGGCTTCTTCACATGTGTCTGTAGCGTGTTCGTGCGAACTACACTTTGCACAGGTTTGACGGCCGCGGCAGCTGTGAGAACCGTGGCCGAATCACTGGCACTTAAAACAACGTCGGGGGTTGGGGATGTAAGGTCGGACCTTTAACTTCAAGTAGCCTGTTTCAATATATTCTAGAAGTATGCTTGTACAAAATGTAAGAATGAAGTGCTTTGTTGGGGTTTCTTTGTTGTCACACCTAATCTTAATTCTCTGTACATGCGTTACATACTGTTCGTTCCAGCCCTCAAGGAGCTCACTCTCTGTCAGGTTAATTAAGTCTTGATCAGACACTACGCTATGGGAACTGTTCAAAGACGATGTGGTGCGATAGATACAGGTGTGGTTCCAAAAGAGGTGAGTTTTGTCAGGTTTTCGTACTGGGTATTTGTTTGGACTTTGAGAAGAAGGTCCCCACTAGCCATACGTGTAGCCTGATACCCTGGACCAAAGGTACTGGTGAGGCATTTGGAAACAACAAACGGAGAGATGGTTCTTGCGTTCTTTTCTTGTGTCGCACAGTGGATCACGTGGATGCGCGGGAAAATTTCTTTTGGCTTTATGAATACATTAATTGTTGATTAGGTGCGCCCCCTCTTAGGAGGAGGGCGATCAGACAGTTTAGGGAATGAGAAAGAGGCCATAAAGTATATATAAATTCGGCAGCCATGCAAGCCGCTCACCATCGAGCCCAACATGGGGACGTGGCAGCACAATTATAAAGGCATGCCAGCGCCAGCTGTACAAAGCCGCTATAACCCAATAATATGTGACCAAGAGAGGGCACATACACAAGGTTAAGCCTTGCCGCCTGGAAGATGGAAGTAAACAGAAGTGAGGAGATGACAGGAAAGATTGAAAGAGAGAAAAAACAAAGATCAGGAGGAAGAGAGAGACGGAAAAAGGCGACTGCCAATTTCCCCTGGGTGGGTCAGCCCAGGGGTGCCGTCTACGTGAAGCCGGGACCAAAGGGGTGTGTTGCCTCTGCTGGGGGGCCTTAAAGGTCCATTCACCCGGCGTCGGCTCAACCCCCAGGATCCCCTTTTCCCCGGACATGGCAAAGCCACACACGGCTAGGTGTGGGAGAGAGTCGAAACTACCCCGTTAGCTCGGGTCCGTGGTGTAGCTACGCACCAAACGCCTACTTATGCAGACGACCCTGCGGGCTATTCTGGATGGTTGACAGTCTCCTTAAAAGGCAGCTTCAGATCATGTCCAATTATAACTTTTATGCTAGTCATCCAACAAATATAAAAAAGTACATGTGCACACACGCACACACACATGCATGCACACAAAGAGAGAGAAAGAAATTATCTAATTAGCAAGCAATGAATAGATTTGAATAAATACCACACAAAAAATTAGAGTGTCCTAAGGGTGTAGATATTTAATTTAGGCACTCAAATGTTAGAACTGCTCAAAATTGGCAATTTAAAAAAAGTTGAATAATTAGGTTTACAATGTCATAAACTTCGCTACACAAGCCGTTACTGCAACTATATCACCTGCATCAATGAGAGTGCCCAAAGTGGCAAAATCAATTAGTTTACAGTTTATGCTGATAGTTATCATGTGTACATGAGCGTCCCAGAAGTATTCCATACTATGTACACGAACAGTTAAAAGCGATAATTTGTGATTAATTTTAATCCTAGACATCAATTCAGTATACAATATCATACTACAAAACTGCACCTAGATATAAATTCATAGCTCATCTACAACAATGACGTAGAAGTTGTGAATGGTGCTGCAATACGATGCCCATATCATTTCTCTCAATATTTGTATGTTTCATGGTACTCTTTGGCCATTACTGGCCTTCGATCCAATAAATACAATAGTCAACTTTTAATGTGTACTACAGGAATTCATAAACACATTAGTGTTGTAAGCGTCGATGACCCCAGAAAAACCGTATAGCAGCTACACTGCATAATTTATGAACATTTAATAATATTTTTTCGACAAAAAATTATGAAGGACAGGTGTATTCACATTCCCAAAATAGTGAAACAAATCATGTGCTGATATGTGCTCATTTTATTGAATTATTTTGCATTGTTATGTATAAATGGAAGAAAATACCCAAAGGGTGACACAGAGTTTTCATATCCCAGATGAAGCTGTCTGATGAAAGCCTCTGCTATTGAGGACAAACTTTGTGAATGTGATTTTCTGTAAATGCAATTTCATATATAAGCCTTGGTTACATGTGGCCCTCTTGAGACATTTACATCATAAGACATTTACATTTTGTAGTTGGTGCAAGATAGGGCCACTAGTTTTGCTATGCCACCGTGCACCTTTTTTCAACTTATTTAACAAACACATAGCAATTTTTTTTTCCAGAGTAACCACATTTTTTCTTCTGTGTTCTCTATTAAAAAGCTTGCTAATGTGAACCTTGTCAACATTGATGAAGCTTATTGCATTATTCTGCATGGTCTGATAGTGCAGTGCTGCTACACATATAGAACCAGTCCATAATAATTAATGAATTAGGATGTTGTCCAACCGAAACTACCCTACACACCAATAGCCGCAGTCACAAACCACGTAAACTTATATTTGCTTAGCAAATACTACAACGAAAAAGAAGCCCTTCTTTAAAGTTTCTTTCACCACTTGCCTTGATAATGCCAGCAATGGAGAGCGTCAGGCTGGAAGTGTACGTGAGGAGCAAGTACTCACTTAGCTCCATCAAAAAAGCGAGCAAGGAGCCTGCCAGAACATACTTGCATGTGCGTAGCACAACTTCAGCATCACGAAAGCGAAACACCTTCTCTGAAGTCGCAATTGGAATTCCTGTGACAGAGACCAAAGACCAAAAAAAGGGCATGCCTAAGTGCACTGAAAAACAAGTTTTCCTCCTAATTTCCTGCTTTTTTTATGTGAAGTTGTTTCATAAGTTGAAATTCTTCAATCAATAGTGAACAGCACATCATTACCAACACAGTGCAACCAGGAATAAGAATTGTCCTGTGATTATAACGACAGTTAGCAGACACTTCAATCCTAAATATTTCTATTTGAAACCTCCTCCGCTGATAATAAACATTTAATTTTTCACTCCCTTTGAAAAAGATAGCACAAGCACATATATTCTGAACACAATGAAGGCTACTACTGTTAAAAGTGGAGAGAGCCTACATAGCAACTGGATAAAAATGCACTCAAGCTTCCTTCACCAAAGCTCATAACCGTTCAGCAACAGGCAAAGTCATATATTGTTTTGAAACCAAACTGAGTGAATACAGAAGCACAAGGAATGATGCGAATTTTAACTGCATCTTGCATTAAACAAAATAATGTGAAGATCAGCAGTAGGTATGATTTAAATTTGTCAGTGATAATATATTCATGTTACCCAAAATAATACATTAGTACAGCAAAGAGGAAGAAACACAACAAGCAAAATTTTTTACTACCTCCACTATTAAGAGAGAGATTTTGATAGACACCTCAGAAACATCATACAAAATCTGTTGTTTTTAAAGTGAAGATTTTTATAGTAAACTTCAGTAGAACTAACACCTCAGCAAGTTGCTCAACCTTGGGTAACAGTGCAAGGCAGTTACATAAAATAAAGAATTCTATACTACTTTCCCCAATTTGCAGGTATCATCTTGCTAAATAGACTACTAGTTAGGCCTTTGGGTGCATGACAAGAGACAAGGAGATCGAAAAACGGGCATTGAAGTTACATTGAAAAATAGCCATACAGAGAGAAAGAATCTAACGAAAGAAGTGGAACGAACGAGTGCACATAGCAAGAAATATTGAGCTACACAGAAGTGAACAAATGTGATGAAGTTCAAGCCAGTGTTTTCTATTTTGTCTATGTGTTTTCCATTCTTTTTTGTACCTCTTCCCATCCTGAGACAAACCCACTTATAAAGTGAATAAAATGCGATCTTGGGAATGCATAAGGCTACAAAGAAGTAAAAAAGTTGACAACACAAAGAAACTGGATATAAAGAACTGAAAAAAAAAATTGCACTAAATTTTCATCCCCATGTACAAGCATTTTTGTCATTAGCATTACATTTTCACATCTGTATTAACCTTTATGGGCAAGAAAATAAAAATCGGTTCTTGTGCATCAATATTGAGTATGAAGAGAGAGAAAAGATGTTTATCATGAAGCTTCTGTGCAAACATTCCTGGCCAACACTGAGCCAGACGACACAAGCATTCTTTGTTGCATTAAAGCAAAAACACAAGACGACGATGTTGGGCCTTCAACGAAGCCAGAAGTGGCCTGTGGTGAAAAGTTCTATTGTGCAGCCTGGTGTTGCCACCCCTACCTATGTGTGACCCTTCTTTGCTGCTGAAAAAATTTCTGCAAGATTATTCTATTGACTGAATATGCTTGTGGTTGAGTATTTTTCATTTAGATGATAAATAAACTTTTCCTACAGATTTTTTTTCATTTTTTATACGTCTCATGTTTTAAAGACGTTTACATATGTGCAAAAATAAATGATTAACATCGGTGGCTATATGAATGTTTTGAGCATTTCTCTATTACCTGATTGATAGTATGAATGTGGTCAATTATTGAGTAGCCTGTTCGAAATCCTGCTTGTTCTTTTGGTTGATTGAATTCTAATGTTTTCTTAACTCTGTTAGCAATTACCTTCGTAAACAGCTTGTATACTACAGAGAGCAAGCTGATCGGCCTGTAATTCTTCAAGTCCCTGTCATCTCCTTTCTTATGTATCAAGATGATGTTAACATTCTTCCAAGACTCCGATGCTCTTCCCGTCAGAAGGAACCTCGTAAACAGGGTGGCTAGTTTTTCTAACACAATCTGTCCTCCATCGTTCAGCAGATCTGATGTTACCTGGCCCTCACCAGCAGCTTTACCTCTTTGCATGCTCTCCGAGGCTTTTTTGACTTCTTCTATCATTACTGGTAGGGTGTCATCTGGGTTACTGCTAGTTCTTATAGTATTAAGGTCGGGGTTGTCCCGGCTACTGTACAGATCTCTGTAAAACTCCTCCGCTATTTTAACTATCCTATCCATATTGGTAGTTATTTTTCCTTCTTTGTCCCTTAGTGCATACATCCGATTTCTGCCTATTCCAAGTTTCCTATTCACTGCTTTGACGCTTCCTTCGTTTTTCAGAGCACGTTCAATTCTCTCCATGTTATACCTTCTTACACCGAATACCTTACGCTTATTAATCAACTTCGAAAGCTTTGGCAGTTCTATTTTGTCTGTTGTACTTGAGACTTTCATGCTTTGACGCTTTTTAATGAGGTTCTTCGACTCCTGGTACAGCTTGCCGGTGTCCTGTCTAAGTACCGTACCTCCAACTTCCACTGCACACTCCGTAATGATACTCGTTAGACTATCATTCATTGCGTCAACGCTAAGGCTGGTTTCCTCGATAAGAGCCGAGTACCTGTTTTCAAGTGAGACTCTGAATTACTCTACTTTCCCTCTCAGTGCTAGCTCATTGATTGGCTTCTTGCGTATCAGTTTCTGTCGTTCCTTCTTCAAGTCTAGGCGAATTCGGGGCCGTACCATTCCGTGGTCACTGCATCGTACCTTGCCAAGCACTTCGACATCCTGCACGATGCCTGGGTGAGCACTCAGAATAAAGTTCATTTCGTTCTTATTTTCGCCTTTAGGGCTCCTCCATGTCCACTTACGGTTTCCTCGTTTTCGGTAGAAGGTATTCAAAATCCGTAAATGATTGAATTCTGCGAATTCTACTAGTAGCTCTCCTCTGGCATTTTTAGTACCGATGCCATAATCTCCCACTGCCTGGTCTCTAGCCTGCTTCTTCCCTACTTTCATATTAAAGTCTCCCATCAGTATAGTATACTGTGTTTTTACCTTACTCGTTGTCGATTCCACGTCTTAATAGAAACTTTACACTGAAGCGTCATCATGGCTGGATGTAGGTGCACAAGCCTGTACCACCTACATCTTGTATCTCTTATTGAGTTTAATTACGATATCTACCTCTCTTACATTAATGCTATAGTAGTCCTCTTGTTGCCAGCTATGTTTCTGTCAATAAGGAACACCACTCCCAGTTCTCTTCTGTCAGCCAACCCCCCATAGCAAAGGACTTGCCCATTCTGTAGCATCGTATAGGCCTCATCTGTCCTCCTAACCTCACTGAGCCCTGTTATATCCCATTTAACACCCTCTAGTTCCTCGAATAGTAGAGCTAGACTTGCCTCACTAGATAAGGTTCTAGCGTTAAGCGTTGCCAAGTTCAGGTTCCAATGGCAGCCTGTCTTAGGACCCTCTGCTGCGTTGCAGATCTGACCACCACTGTAGTCAGTTGCTTCGCAGCTGCTGGGGACTGAGGAACTTCATACATACATGCATGCATGCATACATACATACATACATACATACATACATACATACATACATACATACATACATACATACATACATACATACATACATAACTTTCATAGATTACGAGAAGGCGTTTGATTCAGTAGAAATATCAGCAGTCATTCAGACACTGCAAAATCTGGGCGTTGATGAAGTATATATAAACACCCTGGAAGAAATATACAGGGGATCAACTGCCACCATATTGCTTCATAAAGGAAGCAACAGAATACCAACCAAGAAGGGTGTAAGGCAGGGGGATACAATCTCCCCAATGCTATTTACTGCTTGCTTACAGGAGGTTTTCAGGAATGGGAACAGTTAGGTATAAGAGTTAATGGAGAGTACCTTAGTAACCTGCACTTCGCTGATGACATTGCATTGCTAAGTAACTCAGGGGACGAATTGCAACTCATGATTACGGAGTTAGACAAGGAGAGCAGAAATATGGGTCTTAAAATTAATCTGCAGAAAACGAAAGTAATGTACAACAACCTCGTAAGAGAGCAGCACTTCGAGATAGGTAATAGTGCACTTCTAGTTCTAAAAGACTACGTCTACTTAGGGCAGGTAATAGCCACGGAGCCGAACCAAGAGATTGAAGTAACTAGAAGAATAAGAATGGGCTGGAGCACATTTGGCAAGCACTCGAAAATTATGACAGGTAGATTGCCACTATCCCTCAAGAGGAAGGTATATAACAGCTGTATCTTGCCGGTACTTAGCTACGGAGCAGAAACCTGGAGACTTACAAAGAGGGTTCAGCTTAAATTGAGGACGACGCAGCGAGCAATGGAAAGAAAAATGGTAGGTGTAACCTTAAGAGACAAGAAGAGAGCAGTGTGGATTAGGGGACAAACGGGGGTTAAGGACATCATAGTTGAAATAAAGAAGAGGAAATGGACATGGGCCGGGCGTGTAGCGCGTAGACAGGATAACTGCTGGTCATTAAGGGTAACTAACTGGATTCCCAGAGAAGGCAAGCGGGTTAGGGGGAAACAGAAGGTTAGGTGGGCAGATGAGATTAAGAAGTTTGGGGATATAAATTGGCAGCAGCAAGCCCAGGACCGAGTTGACTGGTAGAACATAAGAGAGGCCTTTGTCCTGCAGTGGATGTAGTCAGGCTGATGATGATGATGATGATGATATAAATGTGGAATGAGGAATATTTCTTAACCTTTTCATCTGTAGTCTGGCAGGAGGTAAGCTGTGTTTGAGCTACTCAGAGATGGTGGGATGCCTAGCCAAAAATCTTGCTAGTTACTATATGCCATTTGCACCATTTCATTGCCTAGAACACAAACATCACAAAAGACAACTCTAACAGCATGTTTGTTTCTGTGCTTTCATGACCGAGTTGCAGTGCCAGACAGAACCTTTGTAAAATGGCATGCCTCGAAAAATGCCAAATTTGCTTTTTCTCAAGGTATGGGATGCAACTTTAACTGTTCTAGTCCAAGCTTTAGTTCAAGATTTAATATGTAAAAGTAAAATAAAGTATAATGTTGCTGACAAAACGAAAAATGTTATTTAAAAATGCAACCTTTTGGACTCTACCATTTTTATGCATTTTTCCACATCTGGCTCTTGGTCAGGAGAGGTGCACTCACCTTCAAATGCTATAGCCAGTGGAAGAAGGCCAAGAATCATCCATGGTTGGACATGGAAAATCATATCAATTGGATTACCTAAACCTGCATTGTCACAAGAAAAAAGACAGTGAAAAAATGATTAATACACAGACATGTAATATTCTGCCCATTATACATAAAAACTTTTCCTATATTAAAGTGGTCAGAGACCAAACCTTGGGCTTAGTGAGATAACACATCCTAGAGACACTACTATGAACAGCTACAAGGAGAGTTTAGAAGCGGAGCATGAAGTTGCCATTTTCTCGGATGCCCTTTTTTCATGCAAAGACCTGTGCTCACTCTCTCCAGGGCTGCCGGTGCCAGCTGTTTGATGTCAAACAACAGATGGAATGCTATTGGCCAATAGCTGACATAAATCATGAGGGCCATTCAAGAGTGCCATCGCTTCTTGCCATGGGGTGCAAGGCCGTGCCGGTGCTGTGCTCTGCTAACATTTCACACTAGCCACATCCATTGTCAGGAATCACAATGGGAGAAAGTGATCACATTTTATCTTGCGTGCTCAAGGTCGTGAAGTGTGCTGATCTAACTTATTTCCTTCATGCCATCCCTTCCTGTGCAACTTTCGGCACGCTCGTCGGAACGAGAGACGAGAGAAAGCGCATCCAACGAATCCCTGTATCTGCTTGTTATGACAACTTTGAGAAAAGTATTTTGCAGCTTGCAAGAATTACGTTTACACAAATTTGGTGCCTTGCAAAGATACATTTTGCATTGACTTTACAAGAGAGCACAATTACATTTTTTCAAGCTGACTAAGGTCAAAGTAAGTGTGTATTAAAATACTATACCAATTTCTACAGCGGTAGTCAAAGAAAGTAGGAGATGCATGCAGACTTAAATATCATAAATATTATAAGCTTCATTTTACTTTCAGAAGGATGACAAATCTTAATTCTGCTCTCCCCCCCTAAAAAAAATCTGTCTACTATGCTGATTTAAGCAGAAATGATTTAACACAGAATGCATATACTATACCCGCCATTATAGCTCAGTTGCTATGGCAATGGGTGTGCACAAAGTGGCAGTTTCAATTTTGGCTGCAACGACCAGATTCTGATGGTGGCGAGATGTAAAAACACTCATACACCTTGGACTCGATGAGTGTTAAAAAGGCCCCAAGCATTCAAAGTGAATTCAAAGTTATCCGCTATGGCATGCTACATCATTGGCTAGTGCTTTTGGTTCACCAACCAAGCCTCACAAAGGACTTTTTTTTTTAGATTGTACAGTATAGTCCACTGTTAAAGAGAACACTCGAATGCACACCATCAATATTCCTGGCCCTCTAAGAGCAAGTGGATTAAGAAACAATCTTCATGCAAGTCAATATTCTGTCAAGAAGAGTCGGAACTTTTAACCACCAGTAGTCTTATGCATATCTAAGCTGCTATGATTCTGTAAGATAGCGAAATCTAAACATGCTGCTCACACAGGTGTTCCCTTTAACAGTGGACCGGTCTGTACCAGTATGTATCACATGAGCTAAGACACTCTGTACTACGAGCTGCCACCCAATGCAGTTTTTTCTGGTAATTGTAATATTAAGTTGAACAAAGTATTTTCAATACAGGTGCTTTGCAATGTTTATAAATATTTCATCTGTTATTACAATAGAGATCAAAACTACTGATCCCAACACCAGAGTGAAGCCATTAACGCACAGGGCTCTTGGTAATAACTTGTCATGAAGCCTAATGCAGACACACACAGACCCCTAAGCAGATTGGGCATCCCGATGCAACCACCTTAATCAACTCACCGACTTCTTTGCGTTGCATCACAAGTTGAGCAAGGGTCCAACGGAGCCCAGCAAGGAATGAGGCACTAAGAACGAGCAAGAAACCCTCTGTGTTGAACTGCGTTGATTGGTAGGTAAACATGAAAAGTCCGACTGCTATCAGAATTACAATGAACACAAGGGAACACCGCTGCAAGAAACAGAGAGCCGAGAGATTTTTTGAATGTCCAATCTGTAGTTGTCAAAGCAAGGTGTAGCCATTCCCAAAAAGAACATAAAACCATAGCTGGACAGTTACAAGGAAGACACAGCTACAGGCTCACAGAACTTCAAGGAATTTGAATGAATGCAAATGAATTCAGAGACAAATGTTCATGGCTCACAGAAACGATGGAAAGGAAAGAGTTTCCTCACATTTGTAATCTGTAAATGAGATCATCGGCAACAGCAAGGCCGAGTGGGATGTGCTTCTGCACAGTTTGAACCTTCAGAACCAAATCCTGGCTGTCCAGTGCACCTGTGACAGGGCCGTTAGGCTAGACGCTAAAATGGCTCATACCTCAGCTATACTAATCTTACTGCAATTTCAAAATGCTACAGCAGCCTCAAATGATTTTTTTTTTGTTAGTTCTATATGTTGTGATGGCTTTCATTTATTGGCAAATAATGACATAAGTCAGCATAAAATGTTAACCAGACACACAGTATGTGAGATGATCGGGCTGGTATAATAAAAAAAAAAGGCATGGTGGCTTTGAAAGTTTGGTCACATCTGTCAATAAACTTAAAAAACAACAATAAGCATTCATTCTGTTATGCAACAGAGCCAAGTATGCCCCAAATATTACACATGCTCTGTGTGTCGCATTTGCTGCAACTTGGTCAATTCAGCCTTCTCATCGAATTATATTAGCTAGAGTTGCCTAGTATACTGACCAGCCTCAAACCTATAATTATGACATGTATACCAACTAATAAAATTACCAAGCTAGAAGACAATAAAATTTATATGTTTATACAATATTTTAATAATTACCTTGCACCTATTTGCTTGTTGGCCATAATTATCTTCAAAGGGGCATACTGACAATTTTTTTCAATGTAATTGACATAAAAGCACTAAAAAAGTGGTTATGTGACTGCATTTTGTGCACTCGTTTGTCCATACAATGAATCCGTTGTTAGCACCCAACGTTTTGGTGTCTAGATACAGCACAATGCTGTTTAACACTCTGCCAACATGATCTTAGCTTTTAATTCATTATTTAAATGTATACACGCTATAAATTTAGCTTCTCATGCCACAATCATTAACCAAAAAATCTACTTCACTTTCTCTTGACTAACAAAAAAGAAAGGAAAAAAAAAAAGCTTGACAAGGAAATAAAAGGATTCACTCACCCTGCGCTCAAGTCCGAAAACCAGGGAAAATCCTAAGATAAATATAATGCAAGTAGATTTTGTCATTGTGTACCTGCAAGATCCAAAGGCATAAAATGAGTGAGATACTGTGTGGCTGGGTCTAATTCTCATGTAGCATCAGTACAAAGATGCCGTTAAGTAATAAGCTAACAAGAGCTGCAAAGAGGACGGCTTAAGCTGTCGATAACAGACAAAATTAAGAAGCAATCGATATTTTATGTAATGAGTTCTTGAGCAACAAGCTATGGTGAAATAATAACTAAATATTCTAAATACGGTACTAGGCAGGTCGCAAAGAAGGAAAGGGAGTCAGCATCATTACATTAGCAGTGATGTACTAACTCAAGTGTTGACAGTTACTTGAGCATGAGGACACCGAAATTCTTCTAGCACATTGTGTACAGCTATATCACACATGCTAGTGCTGGTCATTAATTAAGTATTAAGTTAATTAACAGCTTTTGATAATTGCATAAAATAAGTGATTATATATAGTTGCACGTACAACATCGATAAGGAATGCGTTTGACAGTTTCTTGCTACGGGTATTTGCGTGAAACACTGTTTGAAATAAACCTGTTGCATCCCTCTAAGCAAAAAAAAAAAAAAAAAGCACGAGAGACGAATATTGCTTTTGTACGAAAGATACTTCTAGTTAAAGGGCCCGTAAACCACCCAGAGTTCGAAATTATGTTGTGGTGGGGAAATTGTTCATGAGTGTATGATGAACAAGGAGCCGTTAGTTTCGAAACGGTGCAGTAACAGCAGAGTTAGACAAGTTCCAACGACCACACCTTTCACTCTCTTCTGTGTTTCCCTCAGCTGGTATCCTCTCCCACGCCGCTTTGCCCTCTCGCCGAGCGCTCCTCCCATGCCCCTCCCAATCTCGCGTAGCATACGCCATCGCTGATGCGCAGCTTGAAACACCACCTACTTCGGTTGCTGCGACTCCGGCCTTTGACTCGGTCAGTTGCGTGCTTGTTGGCAAACTGTCACTGCCGTAATCGTGACGGTATAGAACCTGCGTTGCGCGCACACCTTCAAAAGATTGCCAACGCGATGGACCTGTATGCCATGCCATGCCCCGCATGTGTTACACGCACGCGGGCAACACGAAGAACAACAACAAGCAGCGCGGACAGCTGCTTGCAGACTGACCGGAAGTTGTAGGCTCTTGCTCGAACAGTCACAGCATATTTGGCATATTTAGCTCGGTGCGTCAAAAATGTGGCCCAGCGCATCACGCAGAGGCACGAAAGGTCCGAAAAGGGGGAGGGATTGTTTCTTGGAATTTGTGGCATGCCGGCGGCTCATAGTGCTGCCACGTGCAGAATCGTTGATCGCGACGTCATTCTGCACACGATGAGCGCGTTTACTTGAAATACTTGAAAAAATATCGGAGGTGGTTTACGGGCCCTTTAAATCAGTTAAAAAAAAAGAAAGAATGTGCCAGCAAGTTCCTATGATACGCCCAGGTGTTGAGATCCCATTTAAAGCTAGAAGGCTGGTTTGAGGCATGCTTGTATACAATTTGACTGGTACATTTCTAGAAATAACACTATTTGTTTGGGTCTATGTATTATATCCCAAAGCCACGATATGATTATGAAAGGCACTCTGAGGCATGCAACTTGCATCACCATTTTCGTAATCAGCTGCCCAAAAATGGTGTTTGATCTCTGGCTAGATTTCATATAATTGCTGGTTAATATATGCTAATCGTGGTCTCTGGAGTAGACCTTTTACCACATTAAGAAGCAACAGCAATTATAATCTGTTCTAGATGAAGGAGGTGCAAACTGCTCTAATAGACAATCTACCATTCCCAATTACCTTTCAAGGAACATACCTGACGCCATTGATGGATAAATAATGCTTCACCAAACACCCATTAAAAGAAGTGTTCAGGCATGTACTCGCAGATAGGCTCACCCAAGACTCCTTTTCATTATCCATTGTAGCTATATCCACACCACAGCCTAGTCAAGTTGCAAATTCGTAGTGAACACCTTGTTGAGTTCATGCCCTGACCTTTGCCCATTAATGAAGGGAGGTCCCTCAGGCAACAAGTACCACTAGCGGCACTAAATCCTTTGTCTAGTGAGCCACCAACGAGTCCTTGTGAAGCTGTGATGCGATTTCTAAGTTGTATTAGTCACTTACTTTATTTACTTGCTTGTTTTTGTTGCTTGTTATCAGATCCTTGCATTTATGACGCTGACTTTGTATCTTACTCTGGTGTACTGTCTATGCTGTTAAATTTGAAAACCAAGTCTTCATGTGGTTTCTTGTTTCATGTGGTTACAAGTTTCTTGTAGTAATATTTCGTACTTCTTTGTCCACTGGGAAGCTGCCGAGTGACTGGAGGATGGCTCTGATTGTTCCCGTTTTTAAAAAAGGTGACCGGTCCAGCTTTCAAAATTACCGTCCAATATCCTTAACGTCTCAATGCTGCAAGATCATTGAACATATTATTTCCAAACAGATTTTTGAATTTCTAGACGAAAATGCCGTACTAACAAATTTTCAACATGGTTTTAGAAAAGGTTATTCCACGGCAACTTAATTGGTGATAATAATTCATTCGTTAGCAGCGTGTCTTGACAATAACGGCCAAATTGATGCTATATTTTTAGATTTCAAAAAAGCTTTCGACAAGGTACCACACGACAAATTAATAGCAAAACTTAAAAACATTCACATTCCGGATATTTTTGTTTCCTGGATTGCAGCCTACCTATCCAACCGCCAACAGCTTGTAAAAATTAACGAAGAAGAATCTCGGTGTCCTCCTGTCACCTCTGGGGTTCCACAAGGTAGTGTTTTGGGACCATTGCTTTTTTTGTTGTATATTAACGATTTAGTAACTGTTGTTGACCCTACTGTTCAAATTCGATTGTTCGCTGACGACTGTGTTTTGTTTCGGGAAGTCACATGTACTAATGATCAGAACGAACTCGAGAAAAACATTGAAAACGTGCGGGAGTGGTGTGTAGAATGGGGAATGGAATTAAATTTGGAAAAAAGTGTATATCTCTGTGTAACGAGAAAGAAAAACCCTAGTGAACACGTGTATAAATTAGGATCGTCTTCTCTCACACATGTTGACAGTTATAAGTACCTCGGCGTTACGCCAACAAACAACTTATCATGGAACATGCACATAGATAATATTTGCTTGTCTGCCTTTCGGAAATTATGCTTCCTAAGATATAAGCTCAGAAATTCCCCTCCAAACGTAAAGCTTCTTAGTTATTTCACTTTCGTTAGGCCGAAGCTGGAGTATGCGAGTATCGTGTGGAACCCCCATACTAAACAAAACGTTAAAAAACTTGAAAGGATTCAGCGGAAGGCCATTCGGTTTGTTTATTCTAGGTTTTTGCGAACGGACTCTCCCACAGACCTAATGCTAGCTAATAATATTCCTTCTCTTCAGGATCGTAGAAAGAAGTCCCGCCTTGATTTTCTGTCTCTTTTATATAATCGCAAACTTTCCCTTGATCCAACCCCTTTTCTTTCCCCATCAAACACAAGACCGACAAGACATCGCCAACCAAATGCACTAACTCCGTACTTCGCGGGAACGGACACGTTCAAATTTTCATTTTTTCCACGCACCATTTCAGATTGGAACCAGACAATCGAATGTAGTACTTGCGATACTGAGTAACTGTGCACTGTTTTTTTTGTTTTGTTTTGCGTGTATTGTATTTCTCTTTGCATTACACCATGCCCTCCTGCTTGGACCGAAGTGTGGTCCGCAGTATGTATTAAATAATAATAAAAAAGAATAGATGATTGTCATGACGCTCAGAATAAACAGTGACATTTTATAATCACCTGACTGGGCCTCTAGCATATATTAGCATTCATTGCACAATCACATAAAACTATGTAAATTAACTTAGAGAATGTATACATAATGGCACGAGAAATGCAAGATAAATTCTGCCTGCTGTGGCGGGCATTGAAGAGTGACAGGACGGACTATCCGTGAACAGTAAAAACAATGGGAGAAAAAGGAAGAAAGAGGATAACTTTATAGTACAGCTTGATATAGAAATTAATATAATAGCAGAACATGATAATTAGGTAGTGCCAACAAAGTTAGGGTGGAGAAAACAAATATTTGATTGTTTGCTCAAGTATTGTATTGGAGGACTATGTGCAATTAATGATAGTATTTTCTGGTGGTTGCTTCAGAAATTTGGAATTTGCCAAGTTCACAACGGCAGTCCACACTTAGTTCTAGCTTTTGAATTGATAAATGTTAAATCTATTCAAGCGTATTTTGGGGAAATATTAGTACATGAGGGTAAAAAAATACCTGACAGTCAGCTGCGCACTGAACAAAAAGGAGTACAGATGGATGCCATTGTATCCATGTGTTTCGAATAATTACAGAAATTATCAATTGAATAAATCTTCTCAGCCCCTTACAGAGCAAAGAAGATTTATTTTATGAAGTAATCCAGGCCACTGAAGGGGTAAAGCCGGCAATACAGCCTTTCATTCATCACGATTCATCACACCGGTACTTAAGCACACCTGCACACAAAAGAGAAGCGGAAATCCTCATGACTAGTAGTCTCAATAGGAGGTCAGCCTTCCAAATTTCCTTCCAACAGCCTGTTTGTGCTGTGACCTGTATTCGTCATTCCCACAACCAGTGATATTTTCGCTATCTGTGCATGTAGTGCAATATTGTCCACCACTTTTTGTAAATTACCCTACATCAAGGTCAAAATTACCCTACTTTATCCTACGGAACATTTTATTACCCTACATTTCACCCTACGTCCCAAATTAGCACAATGCAGCAATATTAATGTTAAGACTATACTTCTTATTACTACGTGCAAACGTGCGATGGTGCTGAATTCAGTAGCAACTTCAGCGATTTCGAAATTAAGTCAGAGAGAGACTAACAAACATGAGACATCAGATTGAAAGAAAGACCGTTCTGGCATTTGTATGGGAACAGCATTAATTCATAGCTGGAAAAGGAACTAGGAGTCTCATCAGCAAGTACACAGCTGGCAGCGTAAGCGA